CAAGTTAACCAGTCAAACTCCTGATCCTCAGTCGTTAGGTCCCTTAACATCAGAAGTCTTCATTCAAGCCATTCAGAACCTCAAACCCACCAACATGGACATCAAACAACGTATCTTGACTTGCAAAACAAAGGACAGCATCGCTGATCATGGTCTTTGGTTGGTATTACAGCACACTTCATCCACAGATAAATGCACTCCTCCTAATTGCGATATCCAAGACAACCTATTGGTATTCAGAGGACGAGTCTACATACCAAACAACACCAAACTCTGACAGGATCTCATCCAGGAAGCCCATAATTCTCCTACCACAGGACACCCTGGACAATACAAAACACAAGAGATTCTCCAGAGAACCTATTGGTGGCCCACCCTTGCACGTGATGTCAGTGAATATGTCACTGGTTGCACAACTTGCCAAGAAAACAAGATCATCACACATAGGAACTCACTGGATCTAGTACCCATCTCAACAGAACATCACCTTCCATTCCAATCCATTGCTATGGATTTCATCATGGATCTTCCTTGGAGTGATGGTTTTGACAGCTGTTTGGTGGTAACCAATCACAACTGTACCAAGGCTTTGGTATTTATACCCTGCAACAAGACAGTCACAGCATCTGAAACTGCCACCCTGTATCAGAACCATGTCTTCTGATGATTTGGACTACCTGTCAAAGTTATCTCCGACAGAGGAACACAGTTTGCATCACAAATGTTCAGGGAACTATGCACTAAATTAGGCATTAAACAGAACATCTCTAGCATGTTTCATCCTCAAACTGATGGACAGTCAGAATGTGTCAACCAAGATTTAGAACTGTATCTTCAGATCTTTTGCAATCACCAAGCAATAGACTGGACACATCATCTGCCACTAGCAGAATTTGTGCATAACAATAGGTATCATGATGCGATCAGAACATCACCATTCCAGGCGCTCATGGGTTACCACCCTCAGCATAATATTCCCACTGTGGGAATGACTGATGCTCCAGACATTGCTTCTAGGCTCACTCAGCTAGCACACCTTCACACAGAGATCCAATCCAGTATTTGACTAGCAGAAGAAACAGTCAAGAAACGGAATAAAGACAAGTTTGTCGAATATACACCCAGACAAAAGGTGTGGCTGGAAGCCACCAACCTCAAAGGACTCCATCCAAAGGCGAAACTTGGGCCAAAGCTCTATGGACCCTTCATCATTGATCAGAAGCTGTCTTCAGTTGTCTACCACTTGAAACTACCACCCAAATAGAATATTCACCCTGTGTTCCATGCGGGATTACTCTATCCTTATTCAGAAACAACAATGCATGGGAAGAATTATCTCTGACCTCCACCAGAACTATTCAAGAACCAGGAGGAATTTGAAATTGAATGTATCATTGATTTGAAGACGGTTGGCAAGCAAACACTGTATCAGGTAAGATGGAAAGAATACCTGGCCTTGGATGACTCCTGGCTACTGAAAGCCGAACTTTCACATGCCAAAGATGCTTTGACAGACTTCCTACAGCCAAACAAGGAGTAACCTCTTATAAGAACCTCGTCCTCTCCGTATCATCAATGGCATCCACCACCATCCTCGTTGCCCTTCTTTTTGTTAGTTGGTTCCTCATTGGCTTCCTCATCCTCACCATTGTCCTCACCGTCTTCTTCCTCAAAGACAATTACACCTTCAAGGTCCACCTTGAATGCACCCCCACTCCTCTTGCCACCACCCCCATTGACAAACAAGCCCTCAACTGGGCCAACAACAAAACATAAGTAACATCCCCCGTTGAACTCACACCCACTCCCTTTACTGATCTCCTCAGTGGTGAACCAAGTCACCCCCTTTGCCGCCATCACCCTTGCTGTCATCAATGAGCACCCCCACCTCCTACTCCTAGCCCTTCTGGGCTTCTTCCTAACCACCCTCCTATCCATCCTCACCCTTGCCCTCATTGTCCACCTAACCCTTCAGCTCACAATCTGGCACCTCAAGTGCGAACACCAGTGGGCATACAACATTGCCACCACTGCCCAGCGCCCCCTCCCACATACAACCACCACCCTCCCTGTCATCACTGCCAACCGCGACAGCAACAACCCGACACAAGTGTACTTTGAGTACATCAGGGAGCATCAGGATTAGGGTTTGGGGTCTTGTCCTGTCTGTAGTACTTGGATTCTTTTGTATTCTGGGTCTGGTCTTTTCAAGAACAATTTCCTTTTGGCTTT